TCTCTCTCTCTCTCTCTCTCTCTCTCTCTCTCTCTCTCTCTCTCTCTCTCTCTCTCTCTCTCTCTCTCTCTCTCTCTCTCTCTCTCCCCGCCTGATTGAAGGAGAGTCAGTGGCCAAATGAGGAAGAAGATGACACCTGCACAACAAGTAAAAATCAATCAATCAATCAATCAATCGGTCAACCAATCAATCAATCAATCAATTAATCAATCAGTCATTGACAATCAACCAACCAACCAAGCAACCAATCAATCAATCAATGAATCAAGCAAATAATCAATCAATCAATGAAATCAACCAACCGACCAATGCACCCACTAATCAGTCAATCAGTCAATCAATCAATCAAGTAAACAAATCAATCAATCAACCATGCATTCGATTAACCGAACAATCAAGCAATCAATCAACACACCGACCAGTCAGTGACTGATTGACTGATTGACGGATTGATTGATTGATTGATTGATTGATTGATTGATTGATTGATTGATTGGTTGATGCCATGGGTGATCCATCGATTGACTGTGTGAGTGCTTGAGTATTTCGTTGGTTGATTAATTGATTGACAGAAGAAAAAGAAACAAAAAATCACGACCTGCATTTCCCTCACCCGCTATTCGTTCCACTCGCAATGCTCGCATCCCCCACTTGCTTCTCCCGGCCCACCGGCCATTCCGCTGTGTGGAGTCACCCGTTCTCCTCTCAATCCCCTGCCGTGCACTCCCCTCGTCCAGCTTGCCAGCCCTCCACCTCCATGAACGAACCTAACGTCTGCCTCAATGACCTCTCCCCTACCTCCCCCTCCCAATCAATCGATCAATCAATCAATCAATTAATCAATCAATCAATCAATCAATCAATCAATCATTCAGTCACCTCTTCGATCAATCAATCAGTCCAAACAACCACTCAGACAATCAGTCATTCAAGTGATCAAGATCGCTTCAGCAGTGAGGTGGCCTTGGCTCTCGGCCAACGAGAACGCAGAGAGCGACGTGGCTGGGCCTCCGTAGGCCAATGAAAATGCAGCGTGTGACAGCAGCCACATCGCACAGTTAGGCAGCTTCAAGGCTGCGGACCCAGGAAACTGTCTGAGCGGGGCCTGGGTGCAGACACTTTGGCCCAACGTGAAGCGACTGGGCACACGTTGGCCAGGCCCAGGGCCGTCAGAGGTAGCCTTACTTTCTATATAGGAAAGTGAGCGCCCAGGCCAGGGCACATTCTGGCATTGTGCAAGCAGGCGGCCACGCTGCTGCACTGGGCGCCGGTATTGCTGCCTGGCGCTGGCCGGATAGCGCACGGGGGTGCTGGTTATGAGAGGGGACTGCGGTGCAAGCGGGAATGAACGGCCATAGCCGGGCCTGCTCGCGTGGTAGCCGGTGGGCGATGGTGGTCTTCGGGTTAGAGGCGCACATGTGGGAGAGGAGTTGAGGGCCTTGAGGCAGAGAGGGGAGAGAGGCACGTACCTGGTGTATGCTGGCAGTCTGCATGAGTGACGTCGTCACGTACATTGGTCTTCAGATCGAAGTGACTCCTGTTGCATATACGTAGAGTTGGCTAGCGTAGGCTGAGTAGACTAGGCTGGGCCCTGTGCGCACGACATTGGATACTATGTTGGTGTGGCGAGAGAGTATCGACATTGACATGTGAGTTCATTGTATTGCTCTTATTTGGCTTGTATCTCGGTGCATTTTGCTTTCTGCTTGGTACACGACTATCTTGTCTACAGCGTGATATTGCAATTTGGTTTTCTGCCTATCGCTCTCCTTGCATTATGTAATTTGGCAGCATTATGTGGAGAGATGCTGAAGGGGCTGTCCCTTGTCTGAAAGGGTGGTCTAGGCTCAGGGTAATCAATGCGGGCGATCTTTCTTAGTGGCTGTTTTCTGAGGGAGAGCTGCGGTCAATCCACCGGGTTTATCCCAGAGCAATCAATGTTGATAATTCTTCAAACATTGTTAGAGTCATTTGGCGCAGTGGACCTGGCATCCAGCATAAGCTGAACCTGGGTAATGGCCCCAGTACTTCCGGGTTGTTTGTGAGGATGCCCAGCCTTGTGGTACTTCATTTTGAAATAAAACATTAGAAAAAAAGGAACAATTCTCACATCTGGGTCCTGAGAGTCGATTGCAGGCAGGTTGTTTGCAATCTGCAGTTAAAGCGACCACCACCTCCAGAGCTGGCCTGCCAAACCATATGGAAGTTTGCCTGGGCGAGATACGGAGCCTGTGTCGGGTAGTCCAACAGTCAAATTTTCAAAATGGTGAAGGCCTCAGCGAGCTTCAACGATGATGCCATTTTGCCCATTGCTCCTGTCAGAACCTTCTCACCACTTACTTCGTATTCGTCTGTATGCTCGTTGGTTTGACTGGTCTACCAGATCCATGCAGCAGGAACGTCAAGAGTGAAGATTGCACGGGGAACTGCATCTGGTCTTCATTGGAGGTGTGCATCACAGGTAAGTCGTCCATACAACGAAGTGTAAGGAGATGCTGGTTTAAGCATACGCTCTTAATAAAAACTGACCATGATTGGGGTGAGATACATGCAGGAAATTCGTACCGGTAGTTTGATTTGCCCTTCACCTGCAGTTTGTAAAGAATGAGTGTCGAAGTCTGGAATTGACAGAACATAAGGGTCACAATCTAGCCTTGACCACTAGGGGCTGAACAAAGGTGGATGGTTGCCATAATATCAGTATGTTGGTCGATGTCAAGGTACAAAACGAAATAAGTAGCCCTGATGATTCCCTTTTTTTCTATGTTGATGGTCTGCGCTGATGTGCCTCTCATCTGTTGCAGGGGTATCGCTTATGCCACCAGCTTCCGTAATTGGTTTTCCCACAGATCTGGCATGCAGTCTGATCACCTGCAGGCAAATACAATCAGCCATGTAGAGAACAATAGCAACTCCTAAAAGCTCACATAAGTGAAAACGATACGTAATGCAGTTGAGCAAGCATTCATAAGGGGGGAGGGTTTGGGGGTTGACAGAGGGTCTGACCAGGAGTGTTGCAACTGTTTTGCTGGTATGTCAGAGGTGTATTGCAGGTGTGTATGAAGAAGAAGAAGAAGAAGAAGAAGAAGACGAAGACGAAGAAGAAGAAGAAGAAGAAGAAGAAGAAGGGTGGTGAAAGGTGGCGAGCAGGGTGTACGAAATGGTGGGCAAGAAGGAGAAGGGTTATGGAAGATGGTGGGCAGGGGGTAGAAAACAGGTGGCGAGAAGAAGAAAGAGAAGAAGAAGAAGGGTGGTGGAAGATGGCAGGCAGGGGGTAGAAAGTGGTGAGCGAGGAGAAGAAGAAGAAGAAGAAGAAGAAGAAGAAGAAGAAGAAGATGGGTGGTGAGAGATGGTGGGCAGGGGGTTGCTATGGCGGACGGGGGGCAAATGGTCGCTACGGGGTCACTACTGGCGAAGGTGGGAAACAGGGCGCTACAGGGGAAGGTGGGAAACGGGGCCTCACCCCCGCCAGCCCCCCCCCCAAAAAAAAAAGGTGGGTTCAGGTGGCTGCCTGTCGAAGACAGTATGAAGAAGAAGAAGAAGAAGAAGAAGAAGAAGAAGAAGAAGAAGACAAGAGGAAGAAGAAAGGGAAGAAGAAAAAGAAGAAGAAGAAAAAGAGGAAGAAGAAGAAGAAGAAGAAGAAGAAAAAGAAGAAGAAGATGGGTCGCTGAAGATGACGGGCAGGGGGTCGCTACGGCGGAAGGGGGGCAACGGTCGCTACAGGTTCGCTACGGGGGGAACGGGTGAAGACTCTCTCTCTCTCTCTCTCTCACTCACACTCGGGAGTTTGGACCGGCAGTCTGCTAGGATTGCAGGATTGGTGTGAGTAAAGTCGACCACTTTTCTCAGGGGTATCACTAGTTCTGGGCGATGCGGTGAGTCCTTAGACTCCTTACCCATCGGTCAAATGCATCCTGGGCAGACTGTCGGGGTTTAACCTCCTGATAATTCGGTGAAAGTCCGACGAAACAGTCCGGCACAGTCATTCTTGTTTTTTAGTGTATAGTGAATGTGACAACACACACACACACACACACACACACACACACACACACACACACACACACACACACACACACACACACACACACGCTCTTAACAAATCGGCAGCTTGCGATATTGAGGCGGGGTGGCGACGTCGAGGTGCTGTCAAAGCAGGGCAGCAATGAGGAGGGGCGTGGCGATGTCGACGGCAGGGCAGCTAAGTCGAGGGCGCGTCGACTACGGGGTGGGTGGGTACCATTCGTGCATCGAAACCTCGTGCGAATGGCAGCCCCCCCCCCCCCCCCCCTAGCACGCGAACTTCAAACGCTGGTGGGGGCTGCCATTTGTGAGAAGTTTCGATGCACGAATGGTACCCGCCCCACCTCTATCAAACCGATCAATCCCGGCCACTGATCTCTGCAGATCGTTGGCTGGAATCGATCTAAAAAAAATAGGGCTGCTCTGTGCCCCAAATCATAGTTTTGTTTTTTGTACGTGGTCTACCGGCCTTCGGGAGGCGGTGTGGACCAAATCGGGCTGGCCAGACCCCCCCAGCCGTTTTGCGCTGGGGCCGGCCGGTGGCCAACTGGGCAACACAACTGGCCAGGCGCCCCGGCACCCTCCACGGGCGACCCTGCGACCAGCCTAGGTATTTGAGACAAATTTTGCTCGCAGTTCTACTTTAGCTGCACTCGAACCCTGATGCTGCCACCTTCATCTCCCCCTACGGAATCTTTTGGATGTGTACGCGGGATCGCGAAGTTTTTGCGAGACGGGGGCTGCACACTGGTTGTGGTGGACGCTGGGCGCTTGGGCAGCAAGAAGGCACCTCGCACAAGGCGCTTGGGCAGCCCTTCCGCATGGCTCACGCAGGAATGAATAAATGGCTGGACGCTGCCTCTTCATTTATACTTCTGTTGGCTGCTGGTCTGCCCCTTTCCACCGGGCCCAGGGTGCACACAGTCCCACATGGTACTTGATGGCTGGACAAAGTGAGACTGGGACTGGGTACCGCTGACTAAGCGAAGTTGGACTACCCACTTGCCTCTGGCCAAACGTGAGAAACTCTTCCGGACCTTCCGGAAGCTTGCGGACTTGGCCTTTCGGAACTGTAGCAGCTACGACCTTGACCTTTCAGGACTGTAGCAGCTATGACCTTGACCTTTCAGAATTGCTACAGCAACGACCTCGACGCAACTATGACCCCTACTCAACAGACCTACGGTTCAAGACCCGACAGCTAGATTGACCTACGACAGACAACAACTGACTCCTAAAACGCGGGTCACGGGTTCAAACACGGAGGGGTACTGTACACGGATGAGGTGAGGTCTAGGGATCAAGCCCTGGGTTCTGCATCTGCTACTGCAAAGGTGAAAACCGTTTCACCACTGTGCTACCGGTAGTCCTCATGACCCTGTGCTACCGGTCCCCCCGAATTTAGGATGGCGGGGGTAGTGGTGGTTTAAACCCCTTCAGAAGTTTTGACCCTATTTATACCCCTTCCGTCCCCCTGCCCCCCCCCACCCCACCCCCAACTGACAACCCTGAGAAACAAGAAAGAGAATGAATTTGGGCTGCTTTTCGTGGCTGCAGAAAAGCCGCCCGGCTGGGAAAAAATACTCTTCGTAACGTTTCAGTAGTTTTACATCACCCGGGTGGGAGAGCCCCCAGGCTAGTCTCCTGGCTGGGCCTGCCTGACCAGGCACACAATTAACCTAGATAATGGTCTTGCTCTTCTCCTTCACACAGTCCTGGCACTCCTTGCTATCTCAATTCGGTGGTTATCATTCATTTGAGCCTCATCAGTTCGTGTGAGGTTTCTGAAGTTTGGTTCATGACGTTTTGAATCATACTTGCGGCGCATCGCGATGCGCTGCACTGCGCACGTGCGCCGCACCGCGCATCCATCATGACACGCACGCACTGCATGCGGCGCACCTCCAAAAATGGGGGTAAAAAAAAAAAAAAAAACTTGTGAGGGGCGGTAGTAGACCCGGCCCCCTGCTCGTGTAAAATAAGAAACTGGCAGCCAATTTTTTTTTGGAGGCGGTGCGTTGGCCTGAAAGCTTTTAGTAACCTGTAGTTCGGGTAACACTCTGTGTGTATGGTAGGGTTACTGCAGTCTGTATGGTAGGGTTCTTGCAGGCCAGATTCAGTCATGATGAGGGCCGCGATTTCTCAAAACGTTCTCTTCTTATTACTTCTGAAGTAGAAAACGACGGAACTGACAGCCGTTTTTCCTGGAATGTTTTTTTTTTTTTTTTTTTTTAAACGTAAAGGAAGAAAAACAGAATTTCTTTGCACGAGTGTCGCCCGGCACGTCCAACCTGTCAGAACCTCAACGGTAATTGCAGTCTGTATGGTAGGGTTCTTGCAGGCCAGATTCAGTCATGATGAGGGTCGCGATCTCTCAAAACKTTCTCTTCGTATTACTTCTGAAGTAGAAAACGACGGAACTGACAGCCGTTTTTCCTGGATTTTTTTTTTTTTTAAATAAAAAGAAAAAAAACGTAAAGGAAGCCCGGCGCGTCCAACCTGTCAGAACCTCAACGGTAATGTTCACCAACGGGCTCGCTGCACTAATCTTGACATGCACAACAAGACATATATGGCAATGTATCTTTCCATGTTCAAGCGGAGGATTCAGCCTCATTTGTTCAGAGATTCTCCAAAAAAAAAAAAAGAAAGGTTCCAGAGATAAGTTACGTGCTTACCTGATTTATCGGCCCTTCGCTCTCCACCACCTCCAGAGATAAGTTACGTGCTTACCTGATTTATCGGCCCT